GACGTGCTTTTATATGTGTGTATAAAAAAATATAAATGATCGATGAAAGAAAATTTATTTTGAAGAGGTGTTACAATAACACGCTCATTAAATTAATCATCAATCATGTTTTGTTTTTTTATTTCTTTAAGATTGGCTTCCATTTTCGAGTGACTTCATATAAATATAGAAGAAAATCGGTCTGACTGAAAACTCTTTCATTAGTGTTGTAAAGTTTCTAAGAAATAAATAACATGAGACTGTGGACGTTGGTCTGAATATCTGATATACATGAAAACCATATCAATATCCACATCCACGCCCATTCGTTAGAATGCAGAATTTTTATATTTATTTAATGAACAAAATCAAGAAAAGATTAATTATTGACTTTTAAATTCATTATGAACAATTATGCTTAGCAAATCATATTATAAAACCAAAGGAATTTTTAAATAAAATAAAATAAATGTCTTACTCTTAAAATATTTTCGAACTATTTTCATCATAAATTAATCAGTTGTAATAAAAAAAAAGTTTTAATCTCTCTTCTCAAGTAATATAAAATAAAATCAATGAGAAATACATAAAAACATTTCTTAGTTAAATAATATCAATCATTTTCAAACATTTTATGATAAAAACAAAAATATTAATTCAATCGAAATCAAGAGTTTTCTAAAAGCATATTGGAAGATGGATTAAAAATTTCTCTCACAAGATGAGATACACAAATAAGAATAGAATAGTATTTTGGAGCTTGATGAAAAAGAATATATAAAAACATGAATTTGCTCAAAAACCATAGAAGTACTGAGATGATGAATACCAATTCCAATAATTCTCAGAACTAAGACATGCTCATGTAGCTCTTATTAAACGACATAAAAGTTCAAAATATGATTTATAATTTTATCTAAATCATTGTCGTACTTTTTTTTGTATATGTTAAACACCTACGTGCATATTCTTCATTTATTCTAACCTTTTATGATTGATGAGTCTGAGGGAAAATCATGATTTTACTTTTCTTAACGTTATTAAGAATATTTTGATTTATTATGCCAATGATAGATGCTAAATAATAAAAGTCATGATTTTTTGTTTTCTCTTAAATTTTATAATAAAGCCTTTATTTATTAAGTTTATGATGAATAATCATTAAATAGGCAAACATTTTTCTCGTATATATACATCTGCAACTTTGTTTTTCTTCATTTTGATTCTAAGCCGACTCAAATAAGTGTTTGATATCAAAAGCTTTCACACCTTCATGATATGATTCTTTAGATATTACATTGTCTTTAAATCTAAAATACTGATATTTAATATAACAAAGGGATGGGATAGCGGGGCAATGAGACATTAACTGACAGTAGTATTTTTTCATAAAAGTTTTGAATTTATATTCAAAGTAATCAAAATAAATATTTACAAATGATATTTATTATACTGTGACAAATGTCCTCCTTGAAAGAATACTTGCGGAATTTAAATTTATTTTCGCCATCATCCGATTCTAATGAGCAAGAAAATGATCAACAACGTCGATGGAATATTACTGGTACAAGAATTTATATTATACTTATCATAATCATTCTTTTTATTATTGGTCTTATTTTATTATTACTTGAACAATCGACGATGGTTACTATACCAAATCCAACAAAAGAACAGTTTCAAAGTCTGCCTATCAATGCAAAATGTTCATGTTCTCATATTTCTATTCCATATGGGAAATTTATGTCCTTAGAAGCAAGTTTTCATCAAGTTTGTTCAAGTAATTTTATTACTAATCGATGGCTAAATGCAATTGACTCGAAAACAAATACAACTTATTTGGCTTTTCAAGATTTTCGACGTATTGGTAATGCTCAGTTTCAAGCACTTGCTGCTTATTGTGGTTTGTCAAAATCATATACTGATCAAAGTATTAATATCGTTTCTCAAAATACATTGCTAAGTCCACAAATCTTATCAGAAAAATTTCTGCAGTCACACATCAATACAATGATTGAACAATTCAAACTAAAAACACCAAATACTTTTAATATGCAACTAAAATTAATTATCAACATGACAGTCGCCAATGAATTAATGCCTGCACTACAAACTAGTCTCTATCTCAGACTGGTAGGAGGCGCACCTGATCTATATGTACACCTTTACACACGAACGAATGGTGCTATGTGTGATTGCACTCTAAACAATTGTAATCAGATAGAGTCAGGTATTGCCAATAAATTTGGAAAAGAGAGTGTGTACAACACTATGAATGATCTGGCATGGTCTATACCAGGAATGTCAGCAGGTTGTTACCCAGGATTTACACTTCTATCGTCAACACTTGAATGTTTCTACGATCAAATATGTGTAAACAAATCTATTTCATATTTTCCAACAAGTGACACATTCAAAGCGTTGATTATAAATAATGAAAGCTCATATCAACCAACATCAACTATCCAATCAATAGTTGATAATATGATGATTGAAGATTGGATACCGCTTTTTTCTTATGATAAATATTATTCAGAATGTGCACCATCTTCATGTACTTATTTGAAAAAATTTCGACGAGATTTTGTTCATGTCTTGAAAAAATTGATTAGTTTATTGTCTAGTTTGACATTAATACTGGGATTAATAATTCCACTTGTTATTGGATTCATTATGAAACGACGAGATCGAACACCAAAACCACGAATTTCTTGTAAGTAGAAATTACTATCGATGAGAAAGCGAATAAGTAAAAAATTAATAATTAAAAATAGAACAGAAAAAAAGAAAAATATGAACGAGCGAAAATAAGCGTAAGTCAAGCATGGAAAAATGAGTTGATGATTTTAGTTATGACAATAGTTAAAAGAAATTGTTTTTGTACATTTTGATAAAATAAAATCATATTTTTTCTCTTAATATTTAGTCAAAAATCGTTTATATCAATTTAAAGAAACTATTCAAAAGAAATTAATTGAATTGAATATTTTCAAACATTCATCTAATACAGATCGACAAACGAAATTTCAACGTTATGCAACACGATTGTATATATTTTTACTGATTGGTTCAATGATAATTATAACTATTTATGTATTTTTACAAAAAACAATTCAATCAAAAACGATTTCGTATCCTACTGAATCTCAGTTTTCTCAACTTCAAAAAAAATATCCTCAATCACTTTCATGTCCATGCAGTTCAATGTCAATATCTTATTCAAATTTCACAACAATTCAACCACAATATCATCAATTATGTCGAAGTGATCTCATTTCTCCAGAATGGATTCATTACATGGAGGCAAGTACTAAGGGAAGGACTATAGTTTACAATGATTATCGAATAATTGGTACTAATTATTTTAAATTATTATCACTATTGTGTGAACAAGCTGAAGAAATCATTGATAATGCGCTTGAGATTTTTCTCAAAACAGAATTCGTTAGTTCACAAGTTCTTGTAAAAGAATCGTTTCAAAATCAAATAAATTCATCAATTGAAGGTTGGAAATTATCAACGACAAATACTTTTAAAAGAACTATTCAATTAATTCAACAAATTCATCAGGGAAATCAATTGATTAGTAGTCTACATACCGGTCTTTTTAAAGTAGATAAAAATTTAGAAGTATATGTAAATTCACGAACATATGATGGATGCAATTGTTTTTTAAATTCATCCTGCTATTCTACTGTTGAACTTCATCGCTCCGGTGCACATAATGTATACGTAAGTGACCCATATCCAGTTTCAAATGTTTTTCGTGGTTGTTATCCAGTTCAATCATTATTTGTATCAACATTAGAATGTTTTTATAATCTATCATGTATGTTAGAAATTAATACACACATGAAGTCTCCAGTACCTTTTAACTTTTCTGCTCTTAATCAAACTTTAAATCAACCAAATGAAAAAATTGAAATGATTATTAATCGATTAATGGTTAAACAATGGTTACCAAATGTTAATTTTTCATCATATTATGAAAAATGTGCACCATTATCATGTACATATCAATATGATGGTCGAAATAATATTTTTATTAGTATTACAACTATTATAAGTATTTTTGGTGGTTTATCACTTGCATTGAAACTTTTAATTATGATTAGTCTGGAATTTATTGATAAAATTTATTCAAATAATTTGTTCCATTTAATTTCATTCAATTTCATTAAAAAAATCTTTATTTGTCATACTGAAAATCAAGTTATTCATCGATTACATGTGATATTAGTTATTGGAACTCTTACTACATTTTATATGTTCTCTGCTTTTACTCCTCGTGTAATTACTATTGAAATCAATAAACCTTCATTAAAAATCTATGGAGATTTATATAAAGAATATAATGATACATTGGAATGTCCATGTTCACAATTAACAATGAAACATAAATCATTTTTAACTTTAACAACTCGTTTTCATGAAATATGTTCAGGTGGCTTTATTACATATCGATGGCTTTCATATTTATATGACAAAAGAAATAACTATCAACGACATTCATCATATGATTTTTATAATTCAGCTGTTGGACAATTTAAATTACTTTTCTCATTTTGTAAATTATCAAACGAAACAGTTTCTGAATCAATTCTTCAATTAGGAACAACGGATTTGGTTAATAATCAACTTTTATCAGAATATATCTTAAATAATACAATTGAAATGTTTATTAATGAATTTCAACAAACATTGTTACAATCATTTGTCAATAGTATTTCATTAATTCGAGAAACAATCAATAGTAATATGTTCATGACTGTATATCTAAGTAGTTGGGAGTTTGAACATATAGTTTCTCTGTCTCTTTCAGAGAATATTAATGTGTTTCCCTTAAATTATACTGGGTGTAGTTGTTCATCATCATCTAAATGCGTTAGTTCATCTCGTGGAATGTTAACTGGTTGTTATCCACTTGAAACAATATTTCAAACAACATTAGATTGTTTTTATAATCAACAATGTATTGATTCAACAAATAATTTCAAATCAATAAATATTTCAACATTAGAAACAAGTCGTTTTTTATTAAATCAAACAATTGAATCAGTTGTCAATGAATTAATGCTTGAAGAATTAAAATTTGAAATAAATTATACAAATTATTTTGATCAGTGTTCACCATCTTTATGTATTTATTCATATGCTGATAAAACGAATGCTATTGAAGGAATACTAATATTAATTGGTTTATATGGTGGTTTAGTTATTATTTGTCGATTAATTGCTATTATTATTGTCAAAAAAATGTGTCGGATGAATAGCAGAGTTAATCCGGCTACAAATCTATCTTAAATAAACAAAGATTTTATTGCTTTTCATTTCTATTCATATTAATCATGCTTTATTCTTATTAAATAAACAAAGATTTCCTAGCTTTTCATTTCTATTTCTATTAATCACACTTTATGCTTATTAAATAAATAAAAATAAAACTTAACATACTCATTTTTTTTTCAATATCCAAACTCGGTTTACTTAGTCCCAGATTCTTCTATAGGGTGTGGATGTGAGGGTTGTGTTGGCTTCAAATCCTGATGTTCATAGCGCAATACCGTCACACACACTCACACCTTTAAAATATTCCCTATTGAATATCACAAATTCGTAAATATCTAAGAAAAGAAAAACAAACGTTTTTTTTTCTGGATTAATTTATTTTAAAATAAAAAGAAAGTCTAATTTAATAGAAGAACAACTATATCAACATCGAATTTATTCGAAGTGGATTTGCATCCTGGTGGTGAATATAGATGTGGATGGGAAGCTGTCGATATGGATGTCGATAAGATGAATAGGATACAAACACACCCTCAAATTTCTTGATTCTTATAAAGTAGATCAGATGTCTGCTAAATGTTATGAGACAATAAAGAAACCAAAACTGGTTTGGTTCAATCATTCTTCGATTGTGTTTAAGAAGAAAGATTGTTGACAATAAATTTTTGAAAACAAGTTGGACGGTACCCATTAACCCATACTCTCGTTTTCCTTCTGTTTTATGGTAAAAAGAATCAGAAAAAAAATACAAGAATACAAGAACATTGTACTGGAAATTAAGACAATCAATAATCTAGAAATTTGAAAGACAACTTCGTCAACTAGCGAATAAAAATAAAGATTAACAAAAATGAATGAACAATAATGCACTTATGAGCCATTCCGCGTAAGCCATGACCAAAATACACATAACGTGCTCAATCGAGATCATCTGATCTTATTCATTTTAAGATATGTCGTAGAGGGTAGTATTCTGAGTTTCTTGGCGCAAGTCGCTTCAAAAAATATTGAATCTCGCTGTTTTATAAGCATTTTACAAAATACCCTATAAATGATCAAATTGACGAACGGGGATCTAAATCGGGCAATTTCTCGGGAACGGCTGGATCGATTGGAGTGAAACTTTGTTTAAACACGTATCCCCATAAGCCCTAGCCATCATAAAATTTTTGTTCCAGAACTCGGAACAGTTAAGACTTTGTGACTCGTTTAACATGTTGATTTTCGAAATGAATTCTTTCCCAAGATATCGGCCAGTTTGGGAGCTGGTCTTTATAATTTGATAGTACTTTCTCGGGGCTACAAGTCTATGAAAATATCGACACGGATACCTGCAAATGGTCTGTAGCGGAAATCATCTTTGGAAGGTCCATATATCATATATAAAGTATTTACGTTACATTTCGATCTTTTTTATTTAGTGGTCTAAGATAATTTTTATAGTAGACTATCACGCTCATACTACTTCTTCTTCATCATTAATTCTGTTTAACCCTTTAAGTACCAACGGGGCCTATAAGCCCCACTTTTTAGAATTTGACAAATTCTGAATAAATTACGAATGCGAAACAACATCGAAGTGCACTTGCCATTACGGCATAGCGGACATGTAGATGCTTGTATTCGCGCGGTATTGATCATTTTAATAACCCTTCAAATACTAGCGTGCCGTAGGGGGATACGGGTATTGATCGAAAATGACTTCGAAAGTTCTTTGAAAAGTTTAGATGAAAATATTCACAACATACAAAATACATGTTAAAAATATAGTCCTAACGAAGTTTCATTCATTCGCTGAGCCATGGTACGAAAAGGGTTAAGCGACGTTCCATGAGAAAATGGACTTATTCACCATAAGCATGCATACGGCAAAATGTTGATTTAGAAATGAGTATGCCTATTCGATAGAGCATGAAAAGTTATGGTTAGAACCAAATTTTTAGCCATTTTTGTCGGTCCTATCAAGAGATATACATTGATCTTTGAACCCTCCTTAAGTTCTACTGAAGTCTTACTCATGAAATTTGATGGTATTCGAAGTTTTTATTGTGGACCTTATAGGTTTATCGAATAATATCGAAGACCCGAATGTTTCTATACCAAAAGATGCGTCTTGATGAGATCTATCACATCTACGAAAAAAAATGAGATTTTGATTAAAAAATCTTCATTAATCACTATTTTTCATAAAAATAATGCGACTTTTTTTATGAAATTTGCACGTTTTTGCCATAAAACGTTATCAAGACAATTCCCTCTCAAAATCTCGAGGGCGTGAGGGTGTGGGTGTGGGGTGAGTGTGGGCGTGGGTGTGTGAGGGT